TATTTACTTTCCCAACATCCTGCACACACTTCATTATACTTACTATCTCTCTGCTCCAGTAAAGCCAAATTATATTTCAGTTCCAAACTGTTTTATCTCTGTTTTTCTTATCTCTACTAGGACTGCATTGCCTAGCTGTCATTCACCATTCTCTTTATACACAGCTTCTTTTCTATTAAGCACCTGCCAAGTTCAATGGAATACTGTGACAGTTGTGCCTCTAGCTATATATCTCCTCCAAATTTCATTTCTCTCTCTTTCTTTATCCTCCTAGATCCATTTTTCCTCAATGGCCCCTTTTCTGACCTTGTTTTTTCTTGTCGCCCCTTTGTCCTATGGGTTGATTCCCTAGTCTTGGCTAAAGATTACCAATGGGGAATGCTTTTGCAATCACTGATAATTCTCATGATTTTCACCTGTGTCTCTCTGGATTATCCTGAGTCGCCCAGGGAGTCATATGGTTTCTCAATTGAGAAGCACTGTTCTAAATTACAGACTTTCAAGGGCATTTTAGTCACCCTTTTAGCCAAACATCTAGCAATGTGTTAATACAAGACACATTTAGAAAATGTCTCCTAATGCTTAAAGACTCAGGCTAGTCATTCTAAAGTCATAACATTATTTTTGAAGCACTGCTACAGGAATTGGCTCAGTGACCTATTCTGGCCACAAATCGGATTTATTACCACAAACTAAATAAAGTGATTGTTTTTATTTGTTCAAAATTCAATGTTCTTTAATCACATCTGGTCAATTGGATTACAAAACTTACTAGTAATAATGGAATTCAATTTTAAATCTATCTGTGCTGTTTCTAACATCATTCAGAATTCCCTTAAAATGTTATGTCTGCTGAATTAAACTGCTTCCTCATTCTTTTACTTGTAAGAAACCTAATGCATTATTTTTAATCATGTCTGATCTTTACTCATTGAGCCAAACAATAATTTAAAGTCATTACAAAAAACAAGTATGTGTCTGTATTTATCTTACCCACATCTACTAAAACATTTTCATAAATATTTACTTTTTTATTGCAAACTGATCTTTCACTTAGGAAAAACTGAAATTTTCCTAGGATAATGATTCATAAATATATTTGTGCTTGTCTTAGGACCCCTGTGACCCTGCCAGATAGCCTAAATATTGGGATTATTCAGTACACTATTCTCTTAGATCACAAACAAAAACGCCTGAGAATTCCTTCAACTTAACTTGGCCTCCCAAAACTGTTTCCCCTGGAGTTTTGACCTCAGAAATCATGAAGGAGAAAAGTGCTGGCAGCCACTTTTTGCTGCACCAAGTCTCTCCATGATTCCTGGCACTTTTTCCTCTGGAATAAACAAAGAAGTCTTTCTTCCCCTTGTCTTTCTCCATGTTTTGAAGTTTCTTATTCCATGCAAACCTAGTCACTTATACTAGCTGGCAAACAACAAGATGAATAGGAAAAAAAATAGTTAATGAACCATTGTGTTGCTCCATTATGAAGGTAGTAAGCCTCTGTATCTTGACAGACTATGTGAAACCTCCAAATAATAGACAAATCCACTAAGCCTTCTCTGCAGCAAGAAACTGGAGGAATTCAGAATATTTTTTTCTTAACCAAGACAAACTAAATTTAAATTCTACATCACAATAATTCTGCAAATGACAGAAACTCAGTGCCATATCCCACCTCTACCTCATATTCCAGCAAGTACTTCGTCTGCCATAGGAGAAAAAGAACCGTGTAGCAAAACAAGAGAGAAAAATCTATTATTATAGTCTGACCCACACAACTGTAGGGATGAAAGAGAATAATTGTTTTCCAGCACACAATTTAAAAGGCAGCTTAGAAGTAAAAACTCTACTTAGAGAAAAAAATATGGTAAAAATTAATGTGAGGACCTCAATAACTTGAGTGTTATTTATTTATATACTAAGAAATTATTTGAGAAACACACACGTGCACATATATATGGCTAACCACTTCTGAACTCCCAGCAGATAATCAACTAACACTCTTGCCATTCTCATTAATTTCTCTTTTACTAGAACTTTAAATGTTTTATTTTCCTAGAAAAGTCACTTCTAAGAGAATTAAATCAGATGCTGCACAATTTGAAGAGCAAGAATGATGTTTTTTGAAGCATTCAATATATTAAAATATTCAATATTATATTCAATATTCAATGTTCAAATACCTCAGGTAGAGAAACTTTTTTAAAAAATGACATATATTCAAACTGATAGGAGCTTGAGACCAGTCAAGGTAGGTGTAAATGTATTCTCTATTTTACTTAATTTTTAAAATGTATTCATCTTTTATACCCAGATATATCATTAATACCTAATTATATGCATATTTTTGTGGTTTTACATTTTAATAAACCTAAAAACAAGATTCATTTCAACAGTGTAACTATCTATATGTTATAAAACCTCTTTCCCTCTTTTCCTTTGATTTGGTTTTCGGTATTTTGGACCACACATGACAGTGCTCAGGGATCACTTCTGCTTGGCTCAGGGGACCTTATATGAAGTAGTATCACTCCAATATCTTTATATTATACATTATATTCATTATTATACATGTATTATCTCTCCAACCTTTTTTAAAATACATTAAGAACTCAATAACATTGAAAGTACATACCTGGGTCTGACAGTGTTTAGAGATTCATAAGTCATTATTAGTGAAGACTCTTTCAAGTCAGACTTGGAAGTTAAGGTTAAGTATGGCCACCACACTGTTCCATCCGAGCCCATCACTATAGCATCTTCTGGCTTCTTAATATGGAAAATGCTCTTTAAATTATCAGAACTTTGAAAAATTAGCACAATAAAATTTATATTGATTAATATTGTGATGATTAAATGACAATGAAGACACTTAGAAAGCTACAAGAAAATATAAACAAGTTATTTGCTATTTCCTACACTCTTGGGAAAAAAATTATATAGGGCATGATTTTTAAGCCATACATGTGACACATATTTTTCTCATTTTTATTATCTTTAAATATGTTAAATCTAATGTTAACATAAATAAGTGGGAAATATTACAAATTTGGAAAAAATAACTTATTCCTGATTAAATATGCCAAGTTATGTGAAAATATAGAATTAAATCCAATTTAATTTTTTAAAAATTTTTCTAAATTTTTCTGTAATACAAATTTTCTACTTCTCTAAAAGGAAGTGAGAAATATAAGTTTGCATGTGCTTTTTTTGTATATGTGTGAATCTATATCTATCTATTCATCTACGTATATATGCACGTATATGAATAGTATAATCCAAGGGGTTAATTTTAATAACGTTCTAATAAGAGAAGGTTTTGGTTATTTAGAAAAAAGACATTTTTGGGGGGGCAGAGTGATAGTACAGCAGGTAGGATATTTGCCTTGCATGCGGCCTACCAGAGTCCAATCCTTAGCATTCCATATGGTCCCTCGAGCACCACCAGGAGTAATTTCTGAGTGCAGAGCCAAGAGTAACCCTGAGTGTCACTGGGTATGACCCAAAATAGAAAAAAAAGAAAAAAGACATTTTTGACAGCAAAAATTCAAATAGCTTAGTTTATGGAAGTGCTATCCTAAAGAGAAAATTACATCTGTCTTTTATATTATTTTTAAATTATTCCAAACTTTGAAGATACTTTCTCTTGATAGGAATAATTAGCATCAGTTGGTTTGTTTCTCACTATGTATTATAGCTAATATCAATTCACCATAAAGTAAATAACTCAATAAAATTTGAATTAGTTGCCAGAATTTATTCCCAGCCATATATGTGGGCAAGTGTCTTACTGCTTTAACTACTACTACAAAATACCGAAAACTGAGAAATTACTCACAGAAGAAATTTATTTCACATAGTTCTGGCATTTGAGGAGTGTAGATTATGGGTCTGGAAGATTAGAGTTTTGGGTGAGAGCATAGGTTTGATAGACTTCTTTGCACTTTCCACATCTGGTAGAAAGGGCTCAGATTCTTTTTTATAAAGACATTAATCACATTTATGAAAACTCTCATGGCTTAATTCCATCCCAATGTCATCAACCTTCTCATTAGGAAATATATGAACTGGCTGTGCAGACAGCTGGCATATATCAGAACTAAAATTTAAGACATTTGGGTAAATCATCAACACATTTGATCTTCCTTTTATTATGCATTCAGATAATTATACACATTCAGATGATCAGGGATTGCATGTGTGTGCATACGCATGTATCTGAATGTGCATGTGCACACACGATAGACACAATTTATTCTGTAACTAAACATAAAAATAGAGACCAAGAAATATATTTGGTTAGTAATGTGTATTTCGTTCCTTAGACTTTTTAACTCAAATCGACCCGCTCGAGCAAATCGACGATCAACGGGAGGGCCTTTACCTTTACCTTTAAAAATAAGACTTTCTGGGGGCATAAAAATAGGTCAGTGGGTAGAGTGCTTGCCCTGCACACAGCCAATTGCGGTTCCATCTAGAGCACTGTGAAGTCACTCAAGCCCCACCAGTAATTGAACCCAGAGAAAAATGCCTGGAACAAGCCCTGAAGTTCTCTTGGTGTGCCCCATCACAGTTTGTTTTCTGTAAATGGCAAGTCAAAAAAAATTGCTTGTTGTCATCTTTAGATAACAATAGGACTTTTGTAAAAATTTAAAAGAATTGTAGGTGGGTCCACAAATAAAGTGATGGAATCCTATGTATTGTTTTCGAACTAAGAAGTACTAAGCTCTAGAGGCCAGAGAGATACTTCATTGGGTAAGGCACTGTCTTTCATACAGATGATCTGAGTTCAATCCTGGGCACAACATATTATTAGACAAATTAGAGTACCTCTTTCCTCCCATCCCCCAAAAGAATGATAAATTTATTAATATATCAAATAACAATCATTCAAACATAAGTATCACTGCTTCTATAATCAGATTAATTTTTTGCAACTTAGATGCATATATAGCACACTCACCTAATTAACATACTACGTTTCTTTCTTTTCCCAACAGGTTTAGAATGCAGTAACTTAAGAATTATATACTACAGTGAAATAATTCAACACCTGTCTTTGAGCATCCCATGATATGTCCTCTATACTGTAAGTATCTAATTAAATATATTTAATTTCTCAAGTCAACTTTATTGTGGAAAATATATAGTCAATATAGAATTTAAAGATAATTTAATCTTAGTATAGTAAAAGCTAAAAATTACCTTAAATATAAAGATTTAAAAGGATCATCTTTTATAAATAAACATTATGTAAAATTAGATTTAAATCTAAATGCTTTTAGATTTGACATTGTTTCAACCTAAAATATAATACAATAGTCTATTGTGGTAGAAAAAAACACTCATATTGCTTTGAATAATATGCTTTAATATCTTATTGGAGTTTATCTCAAGTGATTATTAGGGGATTGGAGCCACTGCAATGATTCTTAGTAAAACAGAGGCCAGTTCAATGCAAGGTCTACAGCATGAGTTGTGAGTAGACCACTCATGTGAATCATCCCAGCAGGGCTAGTAGTTCTCAGATCTCCCTAATATGTTTTTATATATCTTTTTTAAAAAGTCACTATCACTGTCACTGTCCTCCCTTTGTTCATCCATTTGCTCAAGCGGGCCCAGTAACATTGTGAGACTTGTTACTGTGTTTGGCATATTGAATACATCACAGGTAGATTGTCAGGCTTTGCCGTGTGGGCGAGATACTCTTGGTAGCTTGCTGGGCTCTCTGAGAGGGGCAGAGGAATAGAACTCAAGTTGGCCATGTAGGCTGGGTGCAAGGCAAACGCCCTACCTGCTGTGCTATCTGATATGTAAAGTCATTTCAACTTTAGGTCAGTTTCTTTCTATACTAACTAACTTTCAGAATGAACGTTCTTTTGGAAAAGTTTATTTCTCACTACTGGTATGATTCAATCATTCAGAGGCACACATATACACACAGAAATCACACATGACTTATATGTACTCTTTATTCAGTAAGAAAATATATTTCAAGCAATTTTAAATTTCTTATATGTAAGGAGACAAATGAAATGATGGAATCCTGTGTGTCATTTTTGAACTAAGAAGTACTAAACTCTAGAGACCAGAGAGATACTTCATTGGGTTAGGTATGTGTCTTTCATACAGATAACCTGGATTCAATCTTGGGTACCATGCATGATAACCTGAGCACCTCCAGTAGTGATTCCTGAGCATAGAAACAAGAAGAAGCCCTGAGAACAGCGAAGTTTGACACCCCCCAACACACACACACACACACACACACACACACACACACAAAACAAACACATAAATAATTATTAAGATCTAAGTACTAAACCATTGTGATGAGAAAGAAGACAGTCCAATCCTTTTTCCCTCTGAAGAAAATAAGCCCATGAAATTCAATCCTTTAGTAATCAGATGTGTTCTCATAATTTATGTCATACTTACCACACTGGGAAATGAAGTTTCTTAGCAATGTCTCATAATTCAAGACCTTTAATGATCATCTCAAGCTTCTCTTTCTATCTCCTAACCCTTTCCCTGATGGAACTTATATCTGAGGATCTAAAATTTATCATAATTACATTGCACTGTGTTTTTAGTGGTGCTCAGGAGACCATATGAAAACAGAGTTGTTACAACACAAGACTTACCCATATGCTACCTCTCCAGCCCCACCAAAATTCTCCTATTTGTTTTTAAGAGTTCTTTATACACAGTTCTGTAACCTTACAGCAAGCATGTGAGAGGACATTCAAATAGTATTTCTTGTTTATAAACAGGAGTAAAGGGAATTTAGAGGTTTAGTTGTTCTAGAGACAAGCAGTTTTAATATCTACATAGAATTCATATTGTTTAGCAATCATCTAATTTTTTGACATCATAAATTTACTACATAGAAATGTCTGTGATGATATATTGTTGTTTAACTTATATATATGCAAGATCTTATTAATTTTAATGAAATTATGACAATTTTTATACCATATAAAAATATTAAGAAAGAAATCAGTCCAATCCTTTATCCCTCTGAAGAAAATAAGTTCATGAACTTCAATCCTTTAGTAATCAGACATGTTCTCATAATTTATGTCAAACTTACCACATATAAAACCAAAAATATCATCTAGAATACCTTTTCTGTTAAACTTCAAAATCCAAACTAGATTACTAGATTTTAAAAAAATCACCATTTTAATTAATTTTATTATATTGGACACAAATATGCTTCCACTTTATTAAATAAAATGTAATGCTCCAAGAAGTAAATATAAACTGGGAAGTCACTGTTAATTATAATACTATCTTCACAAATGCATTTATCATATTTTTCCTTCAGTAATAATTTTCCCTGGTGGTATATATGTATTATACATATAAAAGGTATAACAAAATACAATATGTATATTATATGTATATATATATTATATGCATAAAATATTGTAAATGGTGTCAATGGTATGGAAGGTCACTGTCACTGTCCTCCCGTTGTTCATCGATTTTTTTCGAGCAGGCACCAGTAACATCTTCACCGTGAGACTTGCTGTTACTCTTTTTGGCATATTGAATACCTCATGGGTAGCTTACCAGGCTTTGCCGTGCGGGAGGAATACCCTTGGTAGTTTGCCTGGCTCTCTGAGAGGGGCAGAAGAATCGAACCCAGATCAGCTGCGTACAAGGCAAACACGCTATTTGCTATGCTATCACACCAGCCCATATATTTCTAAGGAAGGGAAAAGGGTCAGTAGGAAAAAGCAAAGATGAGACAGAAGGGGCTGAGTTTGGGGATGGAAAGACCCTCATTCTCATATGGGGTATGGACTGGCAAGCCTTCAGGTTAGAACAGGAAGGGATAACGAGGCCAGATCGACAGTACAGCAAGAGAGCACTTGCCTTGCAGGTGGCCAGCCCAGCTCCATCCCGGACACCACATATTGTCCTCTAAGCCCACCAAGGTTGATGCCTGAGCACAGAAGCCAGGAGTAAGCCCTGAACAGCACTTAGTCACTCCCCTGGAGACTCAGACAGTGGGGGAAAAAAATCCAGGAAGAAGTAAGAAAAAAAAAATCCAGGAAGCAATGAGAACAGACTTACACATTATTTTTTTTCTTCAGCCAGCAGTGCCAAAAATCATGTTGGGTGAGAGAGCAAATCTGGGGCTCTTACATACAAAGTATGCTTTCCAACCCTTTGAGCCATCAACCTGGCCTCGGATCTCAGTACTCTTGCTCAGGCTATCTTCTTAAAATTCTTTTTTTTGTCTTGTTTTGTTTTGGGGTCACATCCAGTAGTATTCAGGGCTTACTCTTGGCTCTATGCTTATGAATCACTCCTGGCAGAGATCAGGGCACTGTATGGGGTGCCTGGAATCGAACCCAGGCCAGGTATGTTCAAGGGAAGCATATGGAAGGTATGAAAGGTATCAAGTATGGAAGGTATCAGGATTATGATCACGATCATCCTGTTGTTCATCGATTGCCTCGAGCAGGCACCAGTAACGTCTCCTTCTTCCGAGCCTTGAGATTTTAAAAGAGCCATATTCAATGCTTTTTCAGGGTTAGGAGAATGAGACCCATCATTGTTACTGGTATTTGGCATATTGAGTACGACACGGGAAGTTTGCCAGACTCTGCCATGCGGGAAGGATACTTTTGATAGCCTGCCAGATTCTCCAAAGGAAAAATGAGATAATAAGATGTCCGGGAGCTGGGTTTTATAGTCTCTGCATCTTGGCCATAGATGGGACCAACCTGGCGCTGGCAGCAACTGGTGGGTGTGACACCCACCTACTGGAAGAGGGGGGGTCTGGGTGGAGAAGGCCCAGTCCCAATCCGAGCAGGCTTGGAGATCTCAGCCCCGGGACCCACATGCCTGGGTTCCTCTGCCAGTTCTTTCATGCATGAGGCTTGTTCGGACGTGTGGAGAGTAGTCCCAGCATGGCTGTGGCTGGCTCCAGAGGTCTTCAGCTACTGGGGCTCTGCTCGGGGTGGGGGGAAACTCAACCCGTCCCCCTCCAAGGGGTCTCAGTGAGGACAGCCAGGTGAGGGGGCAGGAGACTCAGGAAGGTATCAAGGAACTATAATAGAAAAGTCATATATATATTCGCTTATATGGATATATGATATACATTTAAGAATAAATAAGTTACTGATTTTTTAAAGAAATAGTATCTACTCTTGGACATTGAGATTTTTTTTTTTTTAATTTTTGGGCCATACCAGGCAATGCTCAGGGATCACTCCTGGCTCTGCACTCAAGAATAACTGTGTAAACACCCACAAAAAAATGGGCAAAGGGACGGCAGTGGCCTATCTCTCCTGCTGCCCGCGTTAGGTAGTCTCAGGCTGTTTCCCCAATCCAGGGAGGTCGATGGCGATGGTCAGGTGGAGGAAGGAAACGAGGGCCAGACCAGGTGGTCTTAGCAGCAGTTTATGACATGGAAGAAGTGTATGTCATAGAGGTCCCAGGATCTCTCAAGCACGTGCTCCCTCAGCGAGCCCTGAAAATCTCCTTATATAGATTATAGTAACTCTAAAGGGCACAATATAGTGATGTCATCAAAAGAAGTTACAGAAAGAACATGAGGCAGCAAAACATACATTGTTTCTTTACATCCAAAGGCCAGTAATCTTGGCCTCCATAAAGAAGATACAAAACCAAGACTGAAACCTTTCACAAGCTACAAGCACTTGGCTTTGCATCCCAAAGACCAGTCTGCTAGAGCTTGGAATCTACATCCCAAAGACAAGTATCTGAGCTTTGCATCCCAAAGACTAGCCTGCCTAGAGCCAGGAATCTATATCCTGAAGATCAGGCCTGGCTAGCACCTGAGATCTGCATATCTAAGACCGGCTAGGTTCCTGTAAGATAAGGGAAACTGCCTCTTACAATATACTGAATTATTTACTGAAGGCAGATGAAGGGGAGAAATGTTCAGTCTCATCCAAGTTGGTCAGGACACAGGGGAAAGCAGTTTCTAAGGCAGACTCTCACTTAGCAGATCAACTCACCCTAGAACAGAATTCCCTGGGTGTGTTTCTCCTATCCTTGTCCAACAAACATATAAGCATACATAATATAAATCATTTTGTATGGACA